TTTCTTTTTTGGAAAAAATGAGACCCTACTATGTATTATTTCATAACCATTTTAAAATATATATCATGAACTTCTTTTGATATCAGTAAATACATCTCTATGCCATCACTTACTGGCTGTTTAGTATTCCACCTTAGGCATCTGTCCTAGTTTATTTTATCAGCATGACCTTTGGCCTTTTATGTTGCTTCCTGAGAAAACTTCTATGATGCAGACTGTCATCCACATCCTGTGCACTTGTCTAATCTGCTCCTTAATATCAATTTCAACAGAGGAATTGGTGGGTCAGAGGGTATACACTTTTTTTATTTTTGCTTTTTTTTTTTTTTGGTAAAATATATATAAAATAAATTTTACCATTTTAACCATTTTTAAGTATACACTTCAGTGGCATTAAGTGAGTACATTCACACTGCTGTACAACCATCACCACTATCCATCTCCAGAACTTTTTCAGCCATCACAGACTGAAACTCTGTACCCATCAAACACTAACCACCCATTCTCCTCTCTCCCCAGCCCCTGGTAACCACCATTCTTTTTCTCTCTGAATTTGCCTTTTCTAGGCACCTCATACAAAATGAATCATACAGTACTGATCCTTTTGTGACTGGCTTAGTTCACTTAGCATAAGGTCTTTAAGATTCAGCCATGTTGTGGCATGTGTTAGAATGTCCTTTCCTTTTTAAAAAAAATATTTTTTTTATTGATTTCAGAGAGGAAGGGAGAGGGAGAGAAAGATAGAAACATCAGTGATGACAGAATCATCAATTGGCTGCCTCCTGCACACCTCACACTGGGGATCAAGCCCTCAACCTGGGCATGTGCCCTTGACCAGAATCGAACCTGGGACCAGTCAGTCCACAAGTCGACACTCTATCCACTGAGCCAAACCAGCTAAGGATGTCCTTCCTTTTTTAAAAAAATAATTTTTTTTATTGATTTCAGAGAGGAAGGGAGAGGAAGAGAGAGCTATAAACATCAATGATGAGAGAGAATCATTGATCAGCTGCCTCCTGCATGCCCCCTACTGGGGATCAAGCCTGAAACCTGGGCACCTGCCCTGACTGGGAATCTAACTGTGACCTCCTGGTTCATAGGTTGTTGCTCAACTGCTGAGCCACACTGGCCAAATTTATATATATACTAGAGGCCCAATGCACAAAATTTGTGCACTTGGTGGGTGGGGGATCCCCTCTGCCCAGCCAGCACCCTCTCGAAGTCTGGGAGCCCTCGGGGGATGTCTGACTGACGCAGAGGTGGAACAGGCTCCCACCATTGCCACTGAGCTCACCAGCCGTGAGCCTGGCTTCTGGCTGAGTGGCGCTCCCACTGTGGGAGCACACTGACCACCAGGGGGCAGCTCCTGCATTGAGCATCTGCCCCCTAGTGGTCAGTGTGCGTCATAGCAACCAGTCATTTCACTGTTTGGTCAATTTGCATATTAGCTTTTTATTATATAGAATTTGAGTTTTTCCCACCTTTCAGGTATGAACATTTTTTAAAGATCTTTCACGTGCATTTCCAAATTGCCCTCCAAAATTTGTGTACCAATCTGCATTCCCAACAGCAACACATGAGAAGGATTTGTGGGTCTTCAGGCCCCAGAGAGCCACAGCCAGCCAGTAACTCTCCCTCAAGTTCTGAAGTCCTTTACATCCTGTGTAATGCTAGAGCATCAGTCACCCCAGGCTAATCAACACCACTGACTCTGGTTTCCTGGCTTAGAGAGTTGCAGGGATTCGGCTGGGAGTGGTGCTCAGGAGAAGGGATGTGGCTGGGAGACTCCCCAGGGGGCACTTTACAGGAAGTCTGTCGGGGCACATGACCCAGAGGCTCCTTCCCACTTGCTGTGTGGTGACCCTTTCCCTCTAGTCAAGGAAATGGCTTTAGTTCTATTATTGAAATGGAGACTTCTGCCCCACAGAGGAAGGGGTGCCCTCAGGAGACCTAGAGTTGGCCTGCCTCAGGTTGAGTCCACCCAGGAAGGGAGGGACTAGGCTTGGGCCTTTGGGATAGTGGGAGGAGGTTGGGTCTAGATGGACTATAGGGGTGCTTTCCCTCTGGATTTCCAACCATGATCACTGCAAATATCCTCCCCTCCACCTCCCTTGGGAGGTGATCCTGGCTCAGTTTTATCGGTATCTGCCCAGGCCATGGGCACAGGCAGTCTGTGATGCCACAGGGATCTGTGCACACGGGTGATCGGAGGCTTGTACAACTCTCCCTCCCTCTGTGCTAAGGTGCGCCTGCGTCTCAGTATCCCTGCCACGCACTCTCCCCTGAACTGCTGACAATCAGGAAACTCAGAATTTCCTAAAACTCTCTTTTGGAAGAAATAATTTGAGGATGATCTGTTTTTGGTGACTCCCTGCTTTTTTATAACCAAAGACATTATTAGACCAATAACTTTATTACTCTTTCATTCCTTTTGAAATATTTTTCTCTACAGAACTAGAGAAAAATAATTAATAATCCATTGACAACCATTAATAATTCTTTTTAATTAATATATTAGTAAAAACTATATTTAACTGCCACCCACAGCTTATGGTCAGCTTGAGATAAACCATATTACCACACAGAGTTAGTACAATTCTAGTCTAAAGCAAAAAACTGACATTTAGGTCAGCCTGTGGAGTTCCCACATAGATCTATTATAAGTCGTCTAGATAAGAAAATTACTCCCTGGACCTTCACTACTACCTTTCTACAGCCCCAAAGACCAGTGACCCCAGAGGGAAACCCTGACCTCGCTTAGTCCCCGCATTAAAGGGAACATGATCGAGGCAGCATGTCTTTCCCAAACAGTTAGGTTGGGACAGAGCTAAGTGAGAACATGGGTGACAGAAACGAACACAGAACCTGCACAGTACATGTGATCTGGTCTCGCCATTTCACAGGTGACCTGGGCTCAGCCTGTCCCTGCATGCTGTCATAGGTGCTTGTCTCTCAGCCCGCCCCATGGTCAGTACAGAGGTCACGGCCACGGCTGCAGCCACCAGGCAGGACAGAGGCGGGGTGGGCACTGGAACCTGGGCTGGCATCGTCCCTTCTTTTCAGATGGCAAGGCGAGGGGCATGCAGCGATGTGGGAGCCAGCGAACCTGGCTTCCGGGACCTCCTGCTGCCATCCAGCTCTGTGGTTTGGGGTGCCCTCTATGAAATGAGGGCTCTGCCTAGCTCATCTTTAGCTCTAGCTCCAACATTCTATGTGTCCATGAAACTGTGGCCTGGGATGAAGAAGTAGGTCGCTGCCTCTACCTCTTCTTCCTGCCCCCTCATCTCTGGTCCAGCCTTAGTCCCCCACTCCCAGTTTTGGCTCCGTAGCCCTAACCTTCCCAGGAAATCCTATTTCTATTTCTTTGGAGTCATTGGTTCAAGCAGTTTGTAATAATAACTGAGCAAGATGCATGGTGGATACTCAGTAAAAATGTGTCAAATTAAATATAGATAGTGTTTCAAAGGATTTTCTAAATAATGGTTACCTGTACATGAGAATGTTTCTTGTTTGCTTGTTTGTTTGTTTTTTACCTTCCAGAATATTTCTAATGTTCACTATCTATATATATAAAAGTCCAGTGACCAAATAGCAGAATGACCAGAATGACCAGTTGCTATGATGCACACTGCGGCGGCCAACTGGCCCGATCCGGGCCCCAATTGGCCCCTCAACCTCCCGCGGCCCCTCCCTCTGGCTGGCCTTTCTCCCAAAAGCCCCCCCGCCACACCCTGATTGGGGGCGAGGCCAGACAGCCAACTGCCCACGGCCCCTCCCCCCAGCCAGCCAACCTCCTGGTGTCCCTCCCCCTTGGCAGGTCCCCCTGATAGGCCTGGATTGCTGGCCAGGCCGAGGTACCCCACCTGTACATGAATTCGTGCACCAGATCTCTAGTAAACATATTATTTCCACAAGAGTGCAGGTATTTCAAAAGGCAAGCATGGATCTGGCCAGTCACAAATAAATTCATGGAAATATGAAACATTCCAAATAGGTAAATCCATAGCACAGAATGTAGATTAGCAGTTGGCAAGGACTAGCGGGAGAGGGAATAAGAAGTGACTATAAACAAGTACGGGGTTTCTTTTGGGGATGATGAAAATGTCCCCAAATTAATGGTGGTGATGGCTGCACAGTTCTGTGAATACACTAAAAACCATTTAATTGTGCACTTAAAAGGAGTATTCTGGCCCCTCCTTACCAAGCCCCTGCTCATTTTTACTACCAGTGCTGAAAAATAATAAAATTATATTTCTTTAATTTTAAAAACTCATAGACAAGATAATATCTTTCCACTGATTGAAACTCCTCAGTGGTTCCCACCTCACTCAGAGCAGAGCCTGCGAGGCCTGGGCCGCTGCCCCACTGTTCAAGTGTTCTGCACCTGCTTTCCATCCATGAGAGTCGCTCCGTCACCTCCTTCAACTCTTTAGTCTAATGTCTCCTCCTCAGTGAAATGTTTCTTGGTATCTTAGTTTATATTTCAAACCCCGCTCCCCTACCCTGTGGCCCAGCATTCCCTATCCCTCTTCCCGGCTTTGCTTCTCACCATTTCACTCATCACCATTTGACATACCACATATTTTACTTATTTGTCTGTAATCTACCACCCTTCACTAGAATACAACATGTGGAATATGTTTGTTTTGTATCTAGAACAGTGGCTGGCACATGCTATGCCCACAATAATATTAGTTGAATAAATGAATGACTCCTGTCAACACTGGCATGTGTACAGAGCAATGAAGGAGCTTATTAAAAACTCAGATTCCTAGGTCCTGCTGTTGCTCATTTAATCTTTGCTGTAGCCCTGTGGTGTGTCATCGCCATTTCACAGAGGGGGACACTGAGGCCAGTGGTGGAGCTAGAACTCAAACTCAAGTCCTCTGCTCCATCCCAGCCTCCTTCCATTTTACCACAATGCCCAGGCAGGAGGCAGCCAGGTGGGCACTGCCTGGTTATCAGGGCACAGCTCTCCCCACCGCGCCTACCTCAAAATGAACTCACCACCTCCATTTTTGTAGCAGAGATAAGGAAACCTCCAGACATTGCCCAGCCCAATGATCTCCCCGGCCACTGACAGCACAAACTCCATCTTGTTGGTCCATTGGCCCCGATCCTTCACCTGGTCCTCGCCTTCCTGGTCCAGCTTCTCTCCCTCCTCAGGGACCCAGGTGACCATAGGAGGCACATCCTCGTGGACTGCCACTTTCCTGTCCATAGCCCCGTAATGGATCTAGAGGCCGCCGAGCTGGGAGTGGGGCCGGATGGTGAGAGAGGCACAGCCTGGTGGGAGGAAAAGGAATGAGCTGTGCAACCCCAACACATGCGTGCCATCCCTGCTTTCCCCATCCTAATCTTTCATTATTGTTGGAACATTGCTTTAATATTATTGGAATGTTGCTTTAATATTGTTGGAATGTTGCTTTAATATTGATTTTCTTCCGAAGCTCTCAATGGCATTTACACCTAAAGTTACGCTTTGCTCTCATGACTCTAAAAACAAATAGGGACCAAATCTTAGCTTGCCCATTTTGTTGATGGGAACACCCAGGCCTTGACAGACGAAGTGACTTGTCTAAAACCATTTAGAACTGTATTTAAACCCAGGCTTCCTGCCTTTTATTCCAAGTCCCTTTTGAGCTTCACAGCCAGCCACCTGTGTGCCCCAACTCCTCAGCCTTCAGGCCAGAAGGGATCAAGGCTGCCAAGGATGACAGGTCAAAGGGCAGATGTGTTGGAGGTGACTGCATGGTTTTCTGCTGGCCAGCTGTGTGCTCGTCCCTGTGCCAGAGTGATCGACCAACTCAGGGTAAACATGGGAGCCAGCTAGCTCGAGACATCTGATTGGGAGGGAAGGGGAAGGTGGGGCCTCTGAGCAAGGCCAGATGAGGACTAGGATTGGTGCCAGGACCGAGGGTAGGACTTCAAAGGAACCCTGGTTCTTTTTCTCTGTTATACCTCTGTCCTAAGAACAGGGTGGAGTCCTGGTGATAGAAGGGATCACCAGAGCGATTCTCACTTGGGTGGTGGTCTTCTCCAGATCAGAATGACCCCTCAAGGAATGGGCTCGGAAGTAGCTGCATATCATAGCAGGTCGCTGCCCTTCCCTACTCTTTGCTCTACTAATAAGCCCAAAGCTCCCTGGACTTTCAGGAAAATCACGTGGGCCACTCAGTTTTACTCTGCCCTCTTGTTGTCTGTTTGTCAGTTGCCACGACACAGATGGCTGGTGTTGTACCTAAAAATCGCTATTTGCCTCCCCTTCTCTCTCCCCCACCCCACAACCTCCCTGAGGCTACCTCTTGCCTCTGTTTCCCTTGGGCTGCCAGGAGGAGGTGCCAAGAGTGCAGAGGGGAGCACCCCCCCTCCCCGCTCCTTGCCTACGAAGGAAGGGCGTTGGGGCATCAAGTCACTCAGAGCCACCGAGTGCTCCATGCTCCTCCATGGCTCTGGGGAAACACAGGGTCCTTTTTATTAAAAGAAGAGTCTGTGTTTATTTGTTGGTCCTTTTAACCCAGGCAACAGCCCAAGTCCAAGGTGTGGCAGGAGCCATTCGAGGTTGTGGAAATTTTTGAAGGTGACTTGAAGGGTGCAGGTTATCCCAGGAATGGGAACGCATGTCAGGGTGAAATTCCGGTGTTGGCACCTACTCAGAGGCTGCTATTGCAAGCTCAGCCTAGGAGGGGAGATGAGGAGAGAGGCACACAGTGGAAATCGGAGGCCTCAGCCTCTGATATAAGGGAGGGTGAGTGGAAGAAGGGAATGGAGCAAGCTCCGGGTTCAGAGTAAGCAGCAGACCTCAAGGGCCTTGGGAACCAGAGCCTTAGGTTGAAAGAGCAGGGTAGTCTAGCCCCAGGGGGAACGTTGATGATACCTGAACCAACTGTGGATGCTGCTACAGAATTTCAGCTGGGGCACCCTGAGGATCGGCCCTTGAATCATTATCAAACAAATGAATGGATGAATGGGTGGGTGAATGAATGAATGGACTAAAAAACTGATGAAAAAAGCACCAGACAGAAACCAAAGTTCTAGTCCAAACCTAGCTAATAATAGTAATCAGTTAACATTTGAATAAGCTCTGTCCTAAAAACATATACATCTTTATATACATTATTAGATTTCATCCTCATCAAAATCTTTGGGTATTACTATTAACTCCATTTTATAAATGAGGAAATGCTCAGAGAAATTAAGGACGAGAACTGAGCGCATCAGGTGCTCAGTAAAAGCTTTTTTTGAATGGTTTGCATAAACTTACCAAAGCAGTAAGTGGTGGAGCTGAGTCTCTAACTTGCTGTGTGACCTTAGGCAAATCACACCTCCTCTCTGGGCTTTACGCCTCCTGGAAGAGAGAATAACCTCTGCTCAGTAGGGGTGTTGGGAGGGCAGGGGATCAAAATCAGATCCTTAAAGGACAAGGAGAGACGATTGCCTTTGCTTGCCAAGCCATAGGGTAGCTCAGCTCAGGGTGAGCTCAAGCACAAGGGTAGCCAAAGGGACGATCAGGAGACAAGCCTTACTGTTCCCCGACCAGAAGCAGCTATTTCAGGGCTAAGCTGTCCTCAGCAGTTAGAGGTGGGGAAGGAGTACATGAGGGGGAGCCAGAGGAGAGAGTGGGATCAGAAAGCAAATCTCAGAACCCAGTTTGGCCACAGGATTTGGGTTGTATCGCAGATGGGATGGGGAGAGAAGAGAACATGAACTCATGAACTGACACTAATGTGACTTTTTTTTAGTTAAAAAAATGTTATTGGGAGGACCATAACTTATGGGTAAGAATGAAAAACCGGAATGGCAGAAGGAACGCGAGGGCATGTGAAAAGGAAAGCTGGCCCAGAGCCAGGGTAAGTCAGGGGGAAACAGGCTTAATTTGAGCAACCGGGATTCAGGTTAGACTCGGGGAAGAAATGTCCAGGAAGATGTTAGGCATCAAAACAAGCTGTACAGAGCTCTCCTTTTTGGGATACTTTCAAAAGCCAGAAGGACAGTACACCTGGCCCTCCTGCTACCCTCACCCCACCCCCGCTGTGCCCTTCCACCGAAGCCCATTTGCTAAGGATAAACAGCAGTGTTATCCACAGTCAGGATGACTTCCAGAGATCTCCCCCTTCCCAAGTCCACCCCAGCCCTGTCACCTCTCCAGCCCCTAGCATCATCTCCCCAGGCTGCCCACCTGCTCTGCCAAGCTGCAGCAGGGTGTGGGGGCATGCAGTGGGCCTCACCATACCTCAGTGCCCTCCAGAAGCAAAGAACCAACGGCCACACTGGGCTGCGTGCTGCCCATCGAGGAAATATTCAAAAGACAGCAAGTCCAAAATTAACTGTTTGTAGGAGGCAGGCATGTGGACGGAGGCCTGGCCCGGGTCTAGCAGAGGAGCAGACAAGTGTAGAAACACTACTCCCCGCATACTGCTGGGACCCCAGCTCAGCCCTGTCACACCCCAGGCCGGCATGAGGCACCCCAGCTCCCGCCTCAGCCCACACCCACATACCAGTTGCCGTTTCCGTACACACACTGGTGCCATTCCCGTCACGTCCCTTTGCACACACATACCTGTGTGCATGGCACCAAAACCTGGCTCCCGTCTAGTCCTTCATACCCCGGGGGCTGCTTGGCTTGGCTGGTAGCCGCCTGCACCTTCCGTCAGCCCCCTCACAACTCCCTTCAGGCACCAGCATGCCCATGCCTTCCCTGAGCCAGGCAGCTTCCTCCTCCTGCTCTGCTAGTAGGGGGACAGGAGCCCCTCACTAGTGGGGTGGGGGGGCAGGAGCCCCTCACTTGTGATTGCTAACTGCAGACCATGGGCCTTCAGGAATGGCCGAGGTTTCTCCTGTCTGCTTCTCCTCCCACATTGCTGGGCACCGTCTGCTTCCCTCTGGCTCTTAGTCAGGTGATCACCCCCTCCTTCACTCACTCCCTGTGGCCGTCCCCCATCTATGGACTTGTCTGCTCCCCAGGCTTATTCCGGAGCAACTCAGATGCCGTGGATGGTGAGGGGGAGCTGGGACACCCCTTGTCCTGGGATCCTGGGCATCAGACTTTGCTCTGGCCCAGTGCATTGCATCACAGACACACACAGTCTGCCTCTCAGGTCTCCTGCTGCAGCCCCTCTGAGGACCCTCCCAGAGGCTGTGAAGACAGATCCAGCCCCCCACCTCCTGCTCACCTCAGCCCCGATCCCGGCTCCTGCGGTCAGCTCAGCTCCATGCCTCAGGTCCCCAGGAGAGCCCAGGGAAGCCACTACGGGAATACCCAGAGAGACAGGACCTGAAAGGGAAATTGTCCTCCACCTTCGCTCCTTCTCCTGTTCTCCCAGCTCAGACTCCCATCTGAGCTGTGTCCTGGGCTCCCAGACAGAAAGTGACTGGCGTGTGTGTGTGAGTGTATTGGGAAGTGAAGGGGCAGAGAAATACCACGAGCAACAGGAGGGATTGAGGTCAAAAGTTTGTGAACCAGGATTACAACATCTAATCTCAGTAAGTCAAGTCCTCTGTCCCCAGTCCCCCACCCCCACTCCCTCCCTCCGCAGCCCCTCCCGCCCTCCCAGCGTGCTGTCCCAAGAGGACCCCTCCAAGCGGGGCTCAGAGACTCAGATCCGACCTCAGCTCTCCTCCTTTTGTTCCTTGCCCTTTCCCTCGTCCCCCTTCTCACCTTGCCCGCTCCTGGTACCAGCCCCGTCCTAGGGGTGAGGAGATGAGGCCAGCCCCCTCTCGCCAGAGCCGAGGATGGAGCACCAACTCCCAGGCTGGAAACCGAGAACCTCAGAGGGGAGTTGGCCTCAGTGACAGAGTCCGGGAGGAGGGTGAATCACATGCTGGACTTTTCCACCAAGTGCTTGCCCTCTGTGGTTTCGAGGCAGGCTCTGGACCTGTACAGCAACTACCCTTTTCCTTGGGATTTTCCTAGAGAAAGTGCCCAGAGCACACCTCAAGGAACCCAAAGGACACAGGTTTGCAGTCACACCTGAGTTTGAACTCCTCCTCTTGTCATTTACCGTCATGTGCGCCTCCGTTTATCAATCTGTAAAAGGTACCAGTATATTACAATACCCACTTTGTAGAGTTGCTGTGAGGGCTGAAGCAATAGGGCAAACTGCTTGGGATAACATAGGTGTTTAAGGAGAGCTGTAGGTGTTTGCTGTGGGTCCTCTGAAGGCTGGGGCTGGGGTGGTAGAGTGTGTGGTCCAGGCAGCCCTAAGGCACACAGCTGTGCCTTGTCTGGTTGCCTGGCAGCTATGCGTGGTGAAACGCGCTGAATACTGTGTATGTCCCATGCTGTGCGCCCAGGGAGCTTATCCAGAACAGGGTCCTGCCTCTATTACTGAGCGCACCCTCACGGTGTTGGAGGACTAACCGAGGCCCATTCATTCAGATTCATTCAGAACAGCTGGTGTCTCTTTCAAGGCAATGAAGATGCTTCCTCAGCTCTAGATGGTACGGAGGAGGGGAAGTTGTGGGGAGAAAGGGAAATTTCCCTTTGCAGGAGCTTCCCCTACATATTTTAGAACTTCCCAGCAGGGCTGAGATTGAAGTGAGAATCTCTGTTTGTAATTTTCCATCAAGCACCCCCGTCGCTGTATCTCAGGCCCCTCCTCAGCACCTCCTGTGGGTTTCCCTGTCAAGGGGAAGCCAGAGTGAATCTCAATTCTCAGACCTTTGCCTCTGAGAAAGCAGGAGGCGGGCTGGGGGTCACGCCCAGCAGAGCAGGGTGTGAGCAGAGCAGCCGGAACTCACACTCCAGTCACCCTGTGCTCACCTGGGGTGCTGTGGCCTGCACTGCTGCATCTGCCCTGTTCAGCATGCTGGGCCACCGTGTGTCAACCATGGAGCTTACTGCAGAAGGGACACCAAAGTCCACGCAGCTATTCCAGAACAAAATACCCACCCGGCCTCTCCATGAAGGGGAGCAAGAGGGAAGAGAATCAGATGAGGCAGAGGACGAATATCCTAGCCATTCATTCATTCAAAAACTCTATTTTATGCCTACAAGGTGTCACACTTTCTGCTAGTACCTGGAGATATGCATGGTTCAGCAAGTCTTGTCATCTCTCCTTCACCTTGTAGAACAGCTGCCTTGTTTGACCTGGCCTCCCTTGAACTTGAAACCTCACAAACTCAAGCCCACTCCAACTCCCCACCCCCCACTTCCAGCCTCCACTGGACATTCAGAGCAATTGGTAAACTCCTGCAGGCCAGAGACCCCATCTGTGCAAAAGGCAGGATCCCTAAACTACCTGGAAAGCCTACCTGAGACTGGCAGTTTTCATACTGGGAAGGGTCCAGAGATAAGACGGAATATGGTTAAATAAATCAATTATCTCGCTGCAGTGAGAACCGTGAACCCCATAGAATCTTCTCATCTCCTACCCCCATGCCTGCTTTTAGTGGGCCTGGCATGGAACCTATTTCCTGAGCATCTCACTCAGGCTAGGTACTTTACATGTTACTCCATTTGCTCCTCACAAGAACCTTGAAATGTAGAAATTATTAGCCCCATTTTACAGATAAGAACTTTGGGGTGATTTGTCCTAAGGCCATGTAGAACTAAATGATGGAGCTAGGATTTGAACCTGGAACCCTTGGCTCCAAAAATCTATGCTTGTACTGCAGCATACTGTTCCCCAGACCCTGAATATTTAAAGAGCAGGTGTCACATTCTATAACTCTGTGTTTTTTGTCTCTAGCATTTATTACAGTGCTGGCAGAGTAGGCATTCAATATTTCTCGGGTGGATGGATGGGTGTGTGGGTGGGTGGATGGGTGGAGAGAAGCAGCTTGGGGGGGGGGGGGGGAATGATCTTAGTCTTCTCTCTTCTGGGAGGGCATTGGTCTCCCAGAACCAGGGGATAGACTGGGGCTTGGAGGACTCAGACCTGATTTTCTTGGACAACGTTCCTGGTGCTGAAAGGGCATGAGGCCCACAGGAGGCAGGGTTATTTTAGGGCTACCTCTCCCTTGCCTCCTAGCAAAAATGCTTAGCTCAATAAATGTGTAGCCTTCTTTCTGGGGCCCAGTGCAACCAGATGCCTGAGGCCAGGAAGCCAGAGGACAGCAAGGATGTCTCTGAACTCCTGGGTTTTTCTGTTTCATTGACAACCCAATATGGTGGGGCTGGAGTCACGGGAAATAGGATAGATGCTTTCCCAGAGCAGCTCTCCTCCACTGGACTCCAACAACACAATGATGTAAGTATTCTTATTCCCACTTTACAGAGGAGAAAACAAATGATCAGAGAAATTAACTTGCCCAAGGTCACAGAGCTAGTACACGCAGGCTAGGACCTACACCGCAGGACTACAGCCTCTATGAGGGAGTGTACTCGGCTGCCAGTGGCGTGGCTGAGCTTGTGCACATTTATCTGACAATAATGAAGGAGTGCGTCTGTGTGCAGATGTATGGATCAACCTGAAATGTGTGCCAGGTCTGAGGTATGAGATCTGAGGCCCCAAGGCAGCCTGGTGGGCTTGGTGCATGACTAGTTACTTCCCTATCTCCAAAGGCCCTGTCTGTAAGTCTCCAGTTTCCTATGCTTCTGCCCTCTCCACTCAGCTCTCACTTGCCACAAGGCTCTCTGCCAGCCTTTCTTCCTTGACTTTCTTCTCTAACAGGTGTGGTCTCTAAACAAGAGAAGGCTCCCCTGCCTTTTATATCTTCTTCCTCTGAAAACAGAGGATCTGGTATCAAACCTTCCAGGCAGAGAGAGCAAATGGACTGAGCTCACCCTGTCCACACCTCCCTTGGCTAAAACCACGCCTGCGCATTCCTGCTCGCTCCCTTTCCCCATGCTGACCCAGGCAAGTGGTTTTTCTTGCACATCTCTGCTTGTCAACCCTGTTGGTTGTTGGAGCAGATCCTTCTCATCCACCCTCCAACTAATTTAATGACCTCAGGCTCAACACCCACTGCCTCATTTGAGCCCTACAACAAACCTATGGGTGGGTGGGGTGCATGGTGTTATCTCCACCTGAAAAAAAAAACCCACAAAAAAACACACCAAAGACCTGAATTCCAAGCAACTTCCACAAAGACACACAGCAAGACAGAGGCAGGTCAGGACTAGAGTCTGCATCTCTTAATTCTTATACTAATGGATTCTTTTCACAGTATATCCACCATTAATGCCTCTCCTAAATGGGATTCAAATCACCATTTCTGAACTGCCTGCATCCCTCCCCAGGCCTAGCAGATTCTTGCAACTTTGATGGAATGGATGGATAGAGAGACAGATATTACACCCTCAGAATGGCCTTCCCAGACCACCTAACCCAAGTCATCGGGTTCCTTCCACACCCCAGTTATTCTTTCTCATAGCACTTTGCTCTTTTCTGTCATTGCATTTGTCACAATCTGTCACGTAAACAGTCTGTTTTTGCTCCTCGTGTGTCATGAGCATAGCACAGGCACACAGTAGGTGTTCCGGGAATATTGTCAGATGGATGGAGATGCCAGGTGTGTGGTGTCTCGAGTTTCAGCACGTTTCTCTAGCAGGTTTATTCCTCCCACCTCAGGCCTGTGACTGAGCCTGGCACATGTGGGGGACACCCGCCCAGTCATGTCCAGAAGGAGCAGCCAAGGCCAACAGACAGCAGGGCTGCTTTCACTAATTCTTATAAACTCTCCCAACAACAACAACAAATCAAACCCTGAAGACCAGAAAAGATTCCAGTGCCTTTCCCACTAACTAACTTGTAAAACAACAACTAAGTAAACCACCCAGGGAATGCGTGCACCCCTCGCCTGCAGCTCCAAGAATCGCTGAATGCTCCCCTGGAACAGCTCGGGAAGAAGGTAGGGTTGTGGAGGGTGGGGGTAAAGGGGAGAGATCAACCAAAGGATTTGTATGCATGTATATAAGCCTAACCAATGGACACAGACACCAGGGGGGTGAGGGCATGAGCAGGGTGTGGGGTTTGGGGACAATAGGGGGATAAGGACACATATCTAATACCTTAATCAATAAAGAAAGAAAAAAAAGAACCATCAAAGCCTCCACATGTTCAGAGAGAAATGCAGTTGTGTGTGTTCAGCCACACACACACACACACACACACACACACACACACACACAGATACATGCTCCACACGCAGCTCAGAGGTGAGGCTGTGGGACACACCTGTGGGATTCTCTGGGGCCAAGGCCATGCCCACTTGGCCTTCCACCTGGGTCTTCTTTGCAGCCTAACCCTAAGAGTTCATCTCGCAGCGCAGGCCACCCCCTCGTGGCCATGCCTGGTGGTGCTGCAGTGGTAGCTATCCTCTTTTCAGCGGGAGAGCCTGGAGTCCTGAGGAAGCGGGGTCCCTCTGCTGGCTGAGCTCGGGTAGTGCCACTGCTGTCCCTCTCTTATGCCCCTGACGCCACGCCCTGGGCAGGCAGGCACACAGACACAGGTTTGGCAGGCGGGGTCAGGCAAGGGAAACGTGGGCAGAAGAAGCCCAACCACTTTTTCCACTTCCTTCCTGTAGCTAGGAAGGGCTCCTCCTCCATTCTCCTCTCCATTG